GTCTTAACAAATGTATCCATCGATTTCCGTGAACAGTGGCAACAACAAAATTGGAGGAATAAATGAATAGATGCTGACAGACACTATGGTACACATTTATCACCAGAAAAGGTTTGTAACATTATTATAGCCAGAAGCGTTATAAATCATGGTGGACCCCATACACTCAGATCTGTGATCACCCTTGCATTGCAACCGAACGGACAATAGTTGGAATTGAAATTCGGTTTTGAGTTACACCAAAGAAAAGGTAAGCAATTTAGGGATAAATAACAACTTGAAACTTGAAACGGGCCACATTTCCAGTGCACCGTTCCGCTTTAACTAAACAACAGATCATAATAAATAATCAAAACAAGTAACGAAAGTTACGTGGTTTTCGTCGATTCTGTATATTTTATCACAAATTGATTTTTTATACTACCTAAAGGCATACACTACTGACTAAGATACTATATCACAGTTTCTGAAAGTTACTCTCTGTGTTGATTCTCCGAGGGGTGTGAGCAATTGGAGTGCACATGTGCAAACTAAGAAACAGATAATCACTGTCAAAAGTCGCCACATGCAACCAACAACCAATTGAAACTCTTGATCTTCTATTTCATCTGGTTACACCGGTCGAGTGATGAATTGATTGAGCTTTGTACAATGAATAGGAGCAGAATGACTGAAAATATCTTCTTTCAAACCCGATAATCCCTATATATATATATATATATATATATATATATATATATTACACCGGTTTATGAACAAGCATGGTGCCAACGCCACAACAATATTAACAATAACAATAATAGGGGATAGGTGGATCGGGGTACAGAGCAAAGTGGAAAGAGGGTGCAACAGTTAATTACGGGAAGATAGAAGATAAATGAGATAACAAGTCTTTTTGTGTTTCACCGTACACTTTTTGATATTTTATCTTTTCTATTATTTTTACGGAGCACGGGATTTCGACAGGCAGACCGAACAGCATTCATGCCTTTGACTTCTATTCTGGGCCATATCTGTCAGCATCTCTAACCAACGTCAATCATCAACCCTTGGGCCCCAACCTGGAAGGCGGGCTGCACCAACCAAAACCAAAGCTGAAACCAACTTCTTTCTACCTCTACGCCATATCACGATATAACCGCCGCGCTGCTACTTCCAGCCATGCCCGGCACGTGCAAAGAGACCACGAAAAGGTAGTCGATGAGCAGGCATACGCAATACGTGACCAAGCCATCGGAGGCGGGGTAGAGCAATTACTTCCTTTAGAGAACGACTATCCACACCCAACACACGACGACGAACCTCGTCATTCCCCACCCGATGTTCCCACCAAATACGAACAATTCTTCGGAGGCATCGGTGGTCAAATACAGACAGTGGATTAGCATCCTCAACGCGGAGGGGCCAGGTCTCGCAACCGTAAGGTAGAACACTGCGAACCGCGGTGATATACATCCTTCCCTTAAGGGACAGTCGGATGTCATGGTGTTGCCACAGGTGTCGCAGGTTGGCGAGAGATGCTCTAGCTTTCGCCATTCGTGAAATGATCGCCTCCCCAACACCAACACCGTCGACGGGGAATGACGGACGCCAACAGCCTTGACGCTATCGGGATTAGGCCTGTACCCTATGATTGGCGCAGTTATTGCGCGGGCCCTTTTTGAAGATGGGGACAACAACCGATTCCCCCCACGAGGAGGAGACCTGCCCAGTGTTCCAAACTTTAGAGAACAGAACTTGTAGTTTTCTAACAAGCTTAATTCCACCACCTTTAATTAGGGTTGGGGAAGGGCCAACGGAGACCGGCGCTTTGTGACGTCCCAAGGCTTGGATCTCCTTATGGATTTCCGCCTCAGAAGGTGGGTCTGTTGAGAAAGACCATGGGACGTGTGCTGGAATAGCTGTGTGAAAAGCTGACGCTGGAGTACAGCTAAGCTGTGCTTTGCAGTGCTCCTCCCAGCGTACAAGACGTCGCTGTTGATTGTGAATGGGTGAACCATCAGCTTCGCAGATCGTTCCGCTCACACCCAAGGCTTTCCTACCGGTGACCCGGATGAGATGAAACAGCTTATGGGAATTAATCATGGAGACAGCACGTTCCATCTCTGACGCGCGTTGAGTCCACGAGATCTCGCGATCTCTGCGTAGATTTGCTTTAAGTTCGCGTCTCGTTAAGAGTTGTGTTTCATTATGCTCGCTGCCGGTCGGAATAGACTGACGTGCATCAAGAAGGCGTAGAGACTCTGCAGAGATCCAGGGTGTCACGGCGCGACGTTCCAGACCACAACTAATTAAGCCAACAGAATGCACAGCATTCTGGTCGCTTATCAATAAGCGACCAGTGCTGGTTAAAGTCATCGGGTGGGGGTGGTACTAGCTTTGCAGCTAGTGCGTTTTGGAAGACAGTTAATTAAGCTGGTTTGGACAGTTTATCACAGTCTAACCATCGTTATATCGTGAGTTTGGGACGCCCATCGAAGCACATGGACAGCTTAGTGCATACTAATGCGTGGTTGGATTCGAGGGGAGTGCTCCAGTACCATCGGCAGTCTTGAATGCAGCCGCGCCATTTGTGGCTTATCGCGATGTGGTCGATATGCGTTCGTCTCTGACTCGAGGAGCGCGGGGCCAAGTGGCGTACCGGCGGTTGGAGCGTCTGAAGTTCGTACTGGCGACGAACAGGCGGTGGTCGGAACACAAAGCCAACAGCAGCTCCCCGCTTTCCGAGCGACAGGAATCTAGTCCGAAGAAACCTCCCAGGTGCGCCTCACTCGAAGTTAACCAGGCCTACTCTAGCATTCATATCTCCTGCTAAAATCACGATATCAGACCGGGTCGCTTTACGCAATAGGTCGTGTAGATTGTGGTAAAATTCATCTTTGACTGAATCTGGGCTGCAGTTTGTTGGAGCGTACGCCGATACGACAAACAAGTTTCGTCTATCGTGGCAACGGCTGTTTACCCTGTACGAAGCTCGGAGTATCACTGCACACAAACTACTGTCGACTGGGATTCAATCTACGAGGGCGGCCTCAGATCTCTCATTGAGAGCTGCGCCGACGCCAGCAAAACCGGAAGCCGTATCCTCAGGGTCCCCAGAGAGGCGTAATTGAAACTTCACATATTAGTTAGATGGGGACGTCAATCGAATAATGGAGCTGGAATCTTGGATGCGAGTTCCTTGGATGCAACACACATCGATGGCTAAGGTTTCGAGCGTACGAGCTAAACACGCCTGTTGTCCTTTACGCATCAGAGTGCGCACATTAAACGTGACTAGTTTGAAAGGACGTCGATGGCGGAGAAGGGCTCCAGCTAGTGGAGAATTCGGTGAAACTTGTACAGCAGTCAAGGTAGGACAACAGCGAACAGCGGCAGAATTTCCACCCGAGGCACTACTGCTAGTAAGATCGCCTGAAGTACCCGAGAGAGATGGAATAGAGTTGGGAGAGTAGAGGTGAGGTGGGGGAAGCTGGGAGAACAAAAGGGTGTGTACGGTGTTGAAAGTCAAAAAGGAACAAGAGCTGTTGACGTGAATTGGTGCTGTTCAGTACGATAACTACAAGAATGCGCATCGAATAGTGAACCGTTCCCTTAGCTATCCTGTGTGTGTGCGTGTGGGAATTCTGAAGACTCGTTCCAAATGAGATATTTTGTTGTATGAATGACAATTTACCGATAGCCTGATCGTTATTCACTATAAGCAACTATCCTCGACCGGGCACCGCCTTGTGGAATTATATAAGTAGGACAAAAACAGGAAAGTTGAAAATAGAGCCTATGAGAAACTAGAAAATTTCAATGGACTAAGGATACAAAGAAGTTGAGATGCACAAACGCCATTGCTTACGACACTCAGCCATATCACTCGATGTCTCTAATCATTGATTACAATGATCCCGAGGTCCCAATCCAAGGAGCGAACGCGACTTATCTACGGAGGTCGACTATTCGCTCCAGTGGGCGACCGCGGTTACCTGAAACTCTCCACCCAACCTCGGCATTATTCGTCGGGTTTTCTCACCAGATTCGTGCAATGATGCGTAAACAGCGGTTTTCAAGCTCCGGCAATCTATTTTTATCACCTTTTCCTAGTGGCCAAGTTTATTTGATGCATAGCAGAAATGGTCAAACTGCCGCAGTTTACACTCAATCCCTCACAGACGGCCGGATTTCACGACGGCTCCACAGATGTCTCAAGTTGGTAAATGCCGATCGAATCTTCTGTATGCGAGCTGACACTTCATGCGTGATACGGCCACCGGGCGAGAAATAGCTGCCCAAATAACAAAACTTGCCCACTATCTCTATTAATTCCCCAGTAAATTGATAATGGGTACTGGACCAAACCAGTCTTGTGGCAACAGTTTACACTTTGAAGGTACAAAACAATTACCGAACATAGCCACGCTTGCACTCAAACTATCTAAAAAAGCTTGCAACTTATCCAGATGTTCACTTTTTTTAATTTGTCATCCATTTGATTTAGTACTTCGAGCAATTTCGAATGGGTTACAGCTTACCGTCACTCCGGTCAAACGAGAGCATCTCAGTCTGTAACATAAATCAAGATCCATCACAAAATGGAATTATTTTTTCGATATCCATAATTTCCCCCAAATCGATCTCTTTCATGAATCGTGGATCCGGTGTTTACCGTCTGAAAAGGCACTCGCGCAAAGCGGAAATTTGTAAACTCACTGAAGAGAAAACGAACATCTCTGCTGTGTGGACAATTCCAATGATACGCGCGAGATCGCAACTGTTTGTACTCCCAGAAACCGTATTCCTGTGGTATTTCATTCAGAATCCGAATCAGATAACCGAATAACGTGACCACGCAGCAAATAATACACATCTCCTGGGCGTGGTACTTGCATACCGTTTGAACCGATTCGAACGACACTCTTTCATGTGACTACAGGCAGCAAGACGGACCCGCGCGCACACACACGCCCAAATTTAAAATGCTTGATCGAAGAGGGGTGGAGTGTGTACTGTCAGCAGAAAAGGTCAACAAAACAGGCAAAAAGTCCAATCACATACGTGCGGGGGCAGATGGGAATCGACTCACGTGTTTTATTCCCGGACGTTTCGGTCAAATTTGATTTCAACCAGGCGATTTCATTGCGTAATTCTTCGATCAGTTGTGTATATTGCGAGATGTGATGATTCACATCAACCACATTGCGACGAACCTACGTGATCACGGGTAGAAAAAGAAACCGAGTGAACAACTTCTTTGTGATCAGAAAATAACTGGATAAGGAAAAATCGGCTGAATTTTATTGGCAAAAGTAACTGATCAATTTGTTATTTTGTAGATTGAATTCGTGTTTTTAATTACAAAAATTCAGCAGCTTCGGTGGGATTCGAATCCAGTCATGAAAGCCGCCTGCGCTTTGTGCATTGTACGCTCCACCAGCTGATCTATGAGATCATAACACTGATCTTTCCACATTTGTTTCCACCATTCAACTTACATAGGCATTTGGAATTCAACGGTAAGCAAAAAAATGATTGGCAAGAAATTATGTTCTTAGAATCCATCGGAATAAACTTGATGAACGTCTAAGGCATGGTTAATTGAATTCGTCGTGTATATAGCAAATGAAGCCTGAACGGAAAAGCTTGGAAGCACTGGACAGCTGTTTCAACCTGGTTTAGTCTAATCAGTAGTGCAAATCCTGAGATGAGCGAGGTCTGTGGCCCTCAACAAGTTCGCAAAGATGGATTGTGCTATACTGTGTAAATGGAAAATGAAAATGGTCTGATCAGCTGCCCGGTGGCCCAAGTGGGTAGCATGCTTGCGTTCTGCGTGCGAGGTCCCGAGTTCGATCTCCGGTTGTTTCGATGGATTCACACTGCTGATGAGACCCAACCAGGTCGAAACAGCTGTCCAGTGCATCCGAGCTTTTCAGTTCACGCTTCAGTTGCTATATACACGACGAATTCATCTTTGAAATTGAGTCAAATCCTCCATTGCTCGCATAGTTAATTGTTCAGTTTATGTTGTCTGGCAGAGCAAATTTTTGTCTTGAATTGTGAACTGTTCCGTAGTTGCGATAGAATTCCAACCCACGCCAGAACGCATAAGTAGCGCCCAGGCTTGAGTTAGAATCCACCCTAGGTTATAAAAACAATTCAAAATTCAAAAAAGACGGTAGCAGCAGTATCGGACTAGAAGTCAATCCCAACTTAGGGATTGGCGGTGGTGGTGGTGGTCGTTGTTGTTGTTGTTGTAGTAGTCGTATTGGTGGTCGTTAATCAATGAAAACTCGTCTTGTCATGATCTTAGAGATTGTTCTCGTTCAAATTATTGATTGAAGAAAATGCAGAAAAGGATAATCTTTGTACTGAAAAAAAAACAAAGCTACACGAGGTAAGTTTTGTTAAACTTGAGGATAAGTTCGGGAGGATGGTCAGTCACAATGAATAACCCATCTCACATCATTACTAAGAAGTAATCTACATTTCAGATTGCAAAACGGTGTGGTTGCATGCAATATTATCCAGATTTTTAGTGAAAACAAACGCAGACTATCTTAAGGGTTGCATGCTCAAAGTTTATTTATACAAACCGTTTCGGGCGTGTTCTGGTCTCCTCCTGAGTTCCCTAAACAAGAGGACTAATGGCTTTCCCGACGAGATTTTCAGCTGTTCCAATCTGACGTAACGGTTTCTTGTAGAGTTCAGTTGTCCACCAGTGCATACCATATGACACGCTATCGATTTCCCTCTTTGAGATGGTTGATGTGAATCGGTCGTTTTGTTAAAACCACTCAAACGGAGATTTGGATGGTTGATACCTGTTGGTTTATCAGTGCATTCTGTCAGTGCATACATATATGGAGGCAGTTATTAATAGCAGTATGGTCAATCAAACCATTAGTATACAATCTGAATAGTTGAGATTAAAAAATGGTCATTATTGATAACATTTTTCAGTCTAGATTTTAGCTTTGACAAACCTTGGTTTTGATACTCTTAGCCCGATCCGCATAGACCAGCGTGTTGTAGGATTCCTCGAAATGCCAACTGGACGGACTGATGTGCGCAATCATAACGGTACGACAATTACCAGCCAAAGCTTCTTTCAGTAGGCGAGTGAGTTTACTGTCACGAAAGTTCACGTACCGTTTGCTATTGGTGTCCGCTGTTCCCAGGACAGAACAAAACAGCAGGGGTGGGGGCGAAATGTAAACAACGGGGAATGGGACAGGACGAGGAAGAGATAAAAATTGGTCACTATGTAATACTATGCTAGTAAGTAAAAGTGATGATATAAAGTACTGAATAAGACACGCTTTGTAAGTCTGTTTTTCTAATCAATATTTTTGTAGTCTAGCTGTTCTGATAGAATCTTCAGTCAGAAATTGTTTGCTGGTAATCTACAAGATACCAGTGAGTTAAAAAACGGTCAAAGAATTTCCCGAGGCTTTTCATTCTTCAGAAAGTCCAGACAGCTAGCCCATCAATTTAGATCACATCGCTGAGTGGTTTGGACAATCAATGCTTACGTTGGCCGGCCCACGTGGGATGAAGTGAGTGGGTTAGTAACCAAGAAGTAAGTTGTCGGGTGTTCGGGAATGTATCGAACATGAACTTGCTACCGAATCCAATTCAGCTCAATAGGCTCCGGTGGTTAGGACATGTTTTGCGTATGTCCGACGGTCGCCTAACGCACCGTGTCTTATTTGTACTGGCTACTGCAGACTGGAGAAAGCCAAGTGGATGCCAGCAGATGACGTCGAGACGAGGCACGAAGAAATGCACAGAGCGATCAGGTAGAATAGGTGTCTCTCGTCTTTCAGATTGGGGTCCAAATGACTCCGTTACTGGATAGTTGGAGACACTGAAGGACATGGCGGCAAACCGACAGCAATGGCGTTCTTGTTGTTACTTCTCATCAGGACAAAATGCTTTAAAAGGTGTGTATTCGCATTTAGATTGCGCGGTCTGTGTTAACCGTAGAGGTTAGCTTTCTTTTCTCGTCCCCAAAAGTAAGTCCAACCCCTGTCCTCCTTACACATTCTCCCTTAACTTGTATGCTATATGAGTTTGGCAGCTATCAGTGAAGTTCGGTTCAGTGTGTTACGCTGTACAATGGGCATGATGATGATGCCGGCAAAATCTACAAGTTGTGATGAGGTGCTTCCTCATGCTACACCACCAACGTTTCCCAGAATATCTGTTGTAGTCACTGCACAGATACACACGCGGGAGAGGGAGGCTGTGTGTCTGTGTATATGCACTTGGGTACCGCAGCTTGGTTCAAACTACACAGAAATTTACCCCAATGATCTGTGACTACAGTAGTAACACTAAGAACTCCACTTCAGCCGTTTGAGAGTCTGATTTGGCAAGATTTCCTTAGTTACTAATGAGCACATATATATGATCATTCTGAACAGTGCTGTATATGCATAAGTACATTGATTATTAGTAATTGAAACATTTCCTCCAGTGGTTTGGATCCAATAAATCAAAAACCACGAACGTATATCTTCCGTTTCATTGTTAGCATAAATAAACTCTTTGTGGACGTCCAAAGAGTCACTTGGTTGGACTGCTTTACTTCGCTTGTTCAAAAGCTACAAGTACCAATACTAAGCACACCCCATAATTAGGAACGAGGATGAATGTATGATCGATCCGGTTGGTAAATGTAGTCGGGAATGAAACGAACGGATTTCACTGGACAGATTCTATTAGTCCTTAGAAAGCCTAATTAACTTGAATATTATTGTGACTGTCTCAAAGCCAGTCATCGGTTATGAGTTTCATTTTTCTCACATTTCAGTTGTTCCTGTTTTTGGTATTGAACGCAGATGGAAATTTCACGAATGATTCTTTCCAGTTGGAAGGTGATTTACGGAGAACTGGGGTTTTGTTTTCAATCACGTGATCAAATTCACAAATGCTCTGACGGTAATGGACATATTTTGCAAGAGATATTTGTGTTGTGGAGTCCATAACCAGTTGCGAACCGAAATTGAGTAACCTATAGTTGTACTTTCAACTGAGGTGATTACAATTATCTCCCGTACTGCAATTTCAAGCAATCAAAATGAGAAAAAGGTGGAACGGAACAATGAAAGATTTCAACAGAATGAAAATATCCAGAAGAATCCTAAATAAATTGGACATTGCATAATTTCCATTCAATGATTTATCCGCGGATGAAATCATATGAAAAGATTGTATTGATAGGCGGGACGGACATTCGAAATGATCGGCGTGCAAAGAACGAGCTAGATCTGAAGGGAGTTGAACAGCAGATGAACTTTACCCAAAGACTATTTCAAAGATAAAAACAGTTGAGAACTATCTACATACGTATGGCAGGAATCGCATTACGCAGTGAACCATTTTTGGTTCCAAAGAGAAACAAAAAGTGTGTCGTATAGCTCTCGCTCTCTGTCTCTGCGCAGAGTGACTGTAACCGCCCGATGAAAAGTTTCTGCTCGCTCGCACGAGCATCGTCAAGGTTCCAAAGTGTATGTGTGTGAGAAGGAGTATGCGATACCCTGTGTCGGTCATTTAGACCGTTCGGTCTCATCAGCAGTCTGCAAGTCACCTAGGTGACCGTATCGATTTGGGAAAACACCTGACAGCGTCGAACAGAAAGACAAAATCACGGATTTCTCCTCTCTCCCTGGCTCTCGCTGCACAACCAGAGCAGTGATTGTCTTAGAGCAAGTAAGAAAGGGTGTGCTTTTTGTCGGCAGATGTTGATTTGTTTACAGATAGAAAAACTTTATTTGAGGTCCAGTTGCCAGGGTATTATTTGTCAAGCCACAGAAAGTGGATACGGTGAAATCTGTGTATTATCTGATTTTCCTGTTTACTGTCTCGTGTTCTGCGTTGTTGAACAAATACCCATGAGCTTCAATTTTGCCTGTTAGCCCAGCTTCAAGTGGAAGTAAATGGAACATCCAATGATGTGAAAATTCAAAGATTTTTTATGGGAATAACTTACAAGCTCATGCTTTTCTCGCCTCATATGTTTGTGTTGTGGTTAAAGGGGTGTTATACGCATATAATTCCTTGTGTAAAATATCACATGACACGGGCTTCTTCCACTGCTGCACCGAGCTTCACTTATATTGGAATTTGCCGATGTTTTATCGAGTCTCAGTTTGAAAGAATCAATATTTGGTGTTAAGACGACGTGGGGTGGGAGAGAGTTCCAGATCGAACACACTCTGACTACGAATGACTGACACCGTCATTTTGAGACCACTAGTTTGAACGGATATCCCCTAAGCTGAACGTTAGGTGATGATTTTAGCAGTCTCTCTGCAAATAAATAATCATTTAACCCCCTAATCATTTTGGTGGCCATCCTTTATGGGCTCTCCAGCATTTTTCAATCACGTTGTAGCCATAGATTCCATGCACGGATAGCGTACTCTGTAGGTGTAATTGTGGATAGAAAACTTATGGACAACGTACGCAATAAACCGGCGCAGCATTTGAAAAAATATATACGGTTTACTGATTTTACGGTGACAGTGGCAAACACAAAAGTTTATGTTTGAGTTAAAAACATCAGACACATCAAATATCGCATAACACATCAAAAAAGAAACAAATATTGGGCTCACAGAGAGCATAAAATGACAGATGATTGAAGTCTAACTTGCTACTGTCCCCTGATTCCTGAGTGAGTGCATGGGAAAGATTGGGTACAGGCGAATTTCGGGAAAAGTTTAAACGAGGTTATACGTGTCAGGGGTTAGCACCAGTGTAGGGATTGGAAAGATAGTGTGTCAATCAAGTGCGCATGTTGGTAGTCAGAGTATGCATTTTCAGTTCAGTTTTTACAACCATTAACTATGCACTTTCCTGCGCTTGACTGACCCAATCTTGAGCAACATTTTACAATTTGAAGGTGCAAAACGCATGCTGAACATGGATGACTGCAGTAGCACTCAAACTATCCAGAAAAGCTTGCAACTTACTTGAATCTTCACTTAGTAGCACAATATCGTCTGCATACTCTAGATCAGACAGTTTTCCACCTGGGAGTAAATCGATACCGCTATCCTCGAAGGAGGATAGGGATGTTTAAAGAATTAAATCTATCAGGAAGTTAAATTGAAAGAAACCCTTTCCAAAAAATTAACGTATAGAGTTGTGGTGATCACATGAAAGTATCCCAATTGGGGGAACGCCAGTGATAACCATCAGACCAAGGGGTTCGAATTTAGAAATTTGTTTACTCAAGTCAGGAAGAATAACCAGGAGGGTGATAAAGTAAAAAGACAGCGATATATAAGAGTTGATAAATAACTGTTGGGAAGTAGGGATCTGTGTGATCATTCGAATTTGCAATGAGAGACAGAGCCTTTTATCATCATAATCATCGAGATGACTTCATAAACAGATATTGTAATCTGTAATGAATCCAAATGATTAGACAGAGTTGATTTCAACTGAGTAATTGTCAGTAGGGATCAGTAGGAAACAACGGGCGTGGAAAGCTACCTGGAGATTCAAGGCATTTGGTAAGGGTTGAAACTTTGACATACGACTGGGAGGATAAAATCGGAATTTGGAGAGGATAAATGGTGAATCTGTTAGGCTTCTAGGCAATCTGTGAAAGATGATTGGGTATGCTCCCTGGGTTATGTTGGTATCTAAAAAACAGCTTTTTCAGTCACCTTTAAGGTGGAAGATGTCAAACATTGTGAAACAAAATCCTTTGGAAAGAACAGAACATATTTGGATGCTTTTGAAATCGGAGTCAGCCTGAAACAATATGGAATAGTGGACGTGTGAAGTGATTCATGTACACAGAAGAGGGAGCTAGCCCAGCTGGGGAAGTGGCTCCAAATTTGAAGAGTACCGAAATAATTGTGTGTTCAAAACAAAAATTGACACAGCGAAGTTTGCAACCGACTCCACATTACAAACTTTTGCGTGACGACCGGTGGGCAAGAAGAGTGCCCGACCGGTGGAGAACGGAAACATCTGTTCACTTGTTCCAACCGATTGTTTTTTTTGTCATTACATTCCACAGACAAGCCTGGATGTATTGACGCAGATGTTTGCTTGTTGCCAGCGTTCAGAATTCGATCTAGAATAATGCATCTGACCGATTTAGTTCAGCTTTGATAAGCCTGGACGGATAGTTGATATCAGGAGCTGAAGGATCATATGACTGATTTGCACATCCCTTTTTGTCTCCACAACGCGTTGAGTAGGAGGGAGAGAAAGGGATTATCTTAGTTTTGTGCACATACAGACTTT